GAGGACGCAACCTCCCCTCAACTCTGTCCCGATGTCCATCACAACGAGCTGCTCAAAACTTCGCACCCTTACGTTATGCGCCGCAGTTGGTCCTTGCAAACTGCCAGAGCTCCGTCTCGGTCAAACTTATCGGATGACCCCTCTAGCAATCATTGCAAGCGCTTGATTGAGACAGCGTTGCGGAGGGCCGGGGCTTATGCACAGTGGCCGTAAACAAGTTGACGCGCAGTTCCCTGAGTGGATAAATAATGAGATGTCGATGTTGCCCCCCGAAATTTTGCGCAAGGACGCCTACCCTAGGACCGGACCAGAAAAGGAGGTCTGCGAGCCCAGAATTTTTGAGAAAGCATGCAAAGACAGACATGGGCCATGGGCACGTGGAGCTTGTTCATGGCGGTTGGCCTTCCGAAGAAAAGTGTGTGTGATGCGTGAACGACCTGCTCAAGAAAGGAGGGATAGTAGGTGAGTGTGACCAAGGGCCCTCATGTTAATAACGCGATGCCGAATCCAATCTCGCCTGGCGGGGGGGGCGACCTGCCAAGTTCTTGAAGACCAGCAAAAAAATGCGAATTGCGTTGTTTTTAGGGTAGGTCTCTGAGTTGTGTATCACATGCGCGTGGACGGAGCAAGGGGGACCCGCGATGGTTTGGTGAAACACTTTGGCTCCTTGGTCACTTCCATGAACACGCTCTTTCGGTCCATCTCCGGCGGTGTTACTTGGGAAGGGCCAGCGTATTCCCTGGAACATATTGGCGTCGAATGGGTGCTCGGTTTCACATTCTACGTCGCATTTTGCTGCTTTGCCGTTCTCAACGAAGCTTGGTTGAGTTTGGCATTGGTTTGTTGCAACGAAAACAAGCAAGACTGGGTATGGCATGCACAGATAATTCTGCAAAGCCGAGCTTTGCCAACCCCTTTCTCATGTGCAATGTTTTTGGTTAGTTTTGGGTTGTTTCGGTGTGCGTTGCGCAGCGAATGAAATGACTTTGCATGAACATATGCAAAAAAAATTGCATGAACATATGCAAAAAATAATAGTTGTACCGTCACCGCGTTCGCCCCTTTCAGCCCATCTGTTCACGTCACACGCACTATGACGTAAACCCGCGTGCGTCGGTCGTCCCTGCGCCACTCGTACCTGTTTGCTGTCAGTGCGGGTTGGCTGGGCACAGAACACCGTATGGCGCATTACATGTTCTGACTAGAACCTCTTTTGCACCATATCTAGCCATCCTGTTTGCCATGTTCTGTTGGAGTCGCTACTGTTTAGTCTTTTGTTGGTTTTCATGTTGCGGATCTTTCACTTGCTTAAGTGGCACGATGTGATTCCCCCGTGCTTTTGCGGCATCAGCTTTGTTGCAAACTTTGTCACGTTTTGGTTCACTGCCCGCACATATGGCCCGCAGTGAAAGAAAAAACAATCAAAAACATTGACTGGTACAATCCCCAAATAGTTTCCTGCTGCCCTTTTGCCCACACAGATCTATGAAGCTCCGCCTGTTTGGCGAAGCCACACAGCATTCCTCGGCCAAGCGACGACAGCGGGACGAATGGATTGCGTTCAGACTCTTTATTGAAATATGACTGAAGGCACTACCTTGAGAAGCAATTCCCGCCTTGATGTCCTAAGTCTAGGTGCATTTTGTTTTGTTGAACTGCTTGGTCTCGCGTGTAGGTTTGTCTTCCGGTTTGTGCTAACAAGCAGACGCGAGTGTCTTCACCTTCGCCAGTGGATGTGTTCATTCATCCGGCGTTGTTCCGTCACACCAAATGGAACGCCGCCACAGCTTGAGTCTGAGTGTTGGTGGCGAGCTTGGCATGGACCAGTAGCACTAACCTTGCGAAGCACAAGGGAACTGCCCCACAAGCACAAAACGCACTGCAGCCAACGATCGCGTCAGTAAAGAGCTTGGTTGCCCCACGCCTGTTTGCAAGCGGCATGGGGGTTCAATGACAGCGCCGTTTTGCGCAAAAGAAATTACCAATTGAGTCCAAAAAGAATCGTGGAAAATAATCCGGTCCACTTATTAAAAGACACGGAGGCCCCCCTAATAAGAAAACCTCGGTCGCATTTTTAAAATAGGGGGTCCCTGAAATCGGGGGGGCCCAAATAAGGTCAGTGGATGCGCAATACTTTGTAGGCCTTGAAGTGCAGAATTCGTGGCAGGCGCAGTACTTTGTGGACCTTGAAGTGCAGATCCCGTGGCAGGCGCAGTACTGTGCTGACCTTGAAGTGCAGAATTCGTGGCAGGTGCAGTACTTTGTGGACCGTGAAGTGTGTCCACAACAACAACAACAACAACTACTACTACTACTACTACTACAAAAACAAAAACAAAAACAAAAACTACTACTACTACTACTACTACTACTGCTACTGCTACTGCTACTCCTACTCCTACTACTACTACTACTACTACTACTACTA